ATGCTCCTGAGCAGCAGCAACTTCCCCTCATCCCTTAAAGCAGCTAACATATACTTTGGTCCATACTTTATCGCAGGTGTGTCAAACTCCCTTGGCCTCTGGGCTGCATCTGGATCATGGGGCTCCTCATGGGCTAGATCTGGGCACAGCTCTGGTGGCAGGATGAACAGCAGCAATGTTAACTGTTATAGGTTTCTAAGCTGCTGCGTTGGCTCAGGCAGCAGGGTAAGCCCCAGTTGCATCAGTGCTGTAATGCGCATCCAATGGAGCTCTGTGCACTGGAACTTCACAGTGGGCCTCCATTCTGTTCATCCTGCTGCTGAATCCCTGCCCCTTCCAGGAGCAATGTGGGCTGGATGATGCAACTCCATGGGCCAAATCTGGCCTATATCTGGTTTAGCTGCCTGAAATGGCAACTTGAGAGCATTACTGTGCACTGATGTAATAAAGAGGCTGAAAACCTGAAGGAATTAGAGGTCCTAGTTTTAAGGCACCATGAACAGCAAGTACAAAAGAATTTCTTAGAAGACATCACCAAAGAGGGTTTTGGCTTGGTCTTTTTACATTAATATGGCCAACCTTGTTTGCTTGGGTGTTAACAAAAACTGAATGTCAGCATGCTCAAATGGAAAAGGCAGCATTGGTCTTCTTTTAATGTCTTTATGGGAAGTCAGTTTCAGCAGAAACAGATCTAAACCAATTTTCCATTTTGAAAAGGGCCTGACAAGTATCCCCAAAATATAGAGAATATATAAATATATAAATATAGAGAAATATTTTTTTCAGATGCAGATATTCAATTGGCAAATTATAGACAAACCTGAAAGACTTAGTGGTTGTAGGCACACTTTCTAGAGCTTTTTTAACAAAAGTGTTATGGAATACATGTCAATCTGATTAAAGAAACGAGTAAAAAAATAAAAACCTTTTACTGTCTTAGATAAAATATGGATTGTACATGTGAGAACTAGTGCTGAAGATGAAACCTTGCAGTATGTAATGAAGGTTAACATTGACACTTGCTGGCTGAACAATATAGTCCCAGACTGTATTTCCATTTTAAAGGGAACCTCTCTGAATTAAATGTTATTTTGTTCAAAGATGTCCGGACGGTGGATCTGTAAGGGCTGACAGAAAAGTATGTTATACAGAATATGTGAAAGTTGTTTGTGAATTGAAACATATAAGAAATGCCAGAGATTTTTACAGTAATTTCAGTGAAATACTGCTATTGGCAAAGCTGTTAAGATTAACCAGATTTTTTGGTTTTTTGTTTTTTTTTATCCATATGTGGAAGAGCTCATATCACTGACATGGGAAAACCGGGGTATCGCATGTTGTTCAGCAGAAAACTGAAAATCCAAATGCCTGCATTATATTATAAACTGATGACAGAGTTACTAGAGACCTGAGACCTGCTACCATGTCATGAAAATGACACTGTGTGTACCTGTTATAGAAAACAGTGGTTGAAAAGAAAAAGGGTGACACTAAATGCAACTCTGTGGTCATTTGAAGTTGTGACCCCACACATTCTAGAAAACAATAGGCAATACCATCTTCAATTTTCAGAGTCGGATGCTTGCTTGAGAAGTTCTCTGCTATATGACTATAGAGTTCAAGTTAGCTGAACCCTACATCTGTACCGTTAGGAACTCGCTGATAACCAGTGGTATGGATGTCTTTGTGGAGACCTGAGGTTTCGCCTGGCAGCACAGCCTATCTCAAAGATGGAACATTGCTAATTAGTTAACAGTCTAGTAATAAGTTTTGGAAATTCTGTATTATATTCATGTTTGTTTATTGTTTTGTTTGACTGGGAGTGAAACGTGAGGAGCTGTACCTTTCAGAGGCTCTTGGCATGAACCAACCAGAACTGGCTGTTACATTATCCAGAAGCTCAAGTTATACAGTGTTGATCAGTTAGAGAAGGGGCATCAAAGATCTTGCTTGTGAAGCCCTATCATTCACCCTGAGGTACTGCCTATGGATCTCAGACTAGACCCTGCACTGATCTGTATGCCACATTCAATGTGCACTGGCTTTGGCCTCAGCCCCACACACCGCACACGGTCAGTCTGGCACACGGTAGGGCCAGTGTGCGCGCTGGGTGCAGCATGTGTAACTGGTCTGGAGCATGTGCTATACACACTCCAGTTCCATGCCATTCATTTGGCTCATGGCACCTGAGGAGTTTGATACCCATGGGTTACGTCTCTGACCCAGAGTGAAACAGAAACCTGACAGTCTTTGACCCTGAGTGGTTACTGAACATCATGCAAGGAAGCCGCTGCTGGGGAAAGGCTTTGATAACAGGAATCCCAGAGTACATTTTGGTCAGCTTGATATGACAGTCTATGTAGCCACGCCAAGATTTTCAATGCAATTCCCTTTCCTATTCATCTGCTATTCTGAACACATGCCCACACTGCCTTATTTAGTCTTTTATCCATGCTAGATTTAGGCCCTGTGAAACTTTGTTTTTTTCCAGGTTCAGAGGGATCTGATCTGGGCACAAGGCCCAGTGGCCTTTCCTCCCCCTCTCCACAGGGCAAACGGCCAGGAAAAGCTTGAAGGATGGACTATAATGCTTGGGGCTTTTTTACTCAAAGTGGCTAGTACTGGTTACTGGTGAAGCCATGGGAATGAGTTGCATCCAGTGTTTTCCGTGTTCTCCATACAGAAAGGGTGGAACAATAACAGCAGCAGGCAGCAAAAGTTCATAGGGGTGCCCTCTGGAATGCCCTGTACTCTCTGGACTCCTTTTGCAAAGACCCAGGACAAACTGCAGCTGAGGGTATGGTGAGGGGGAGCATCAGTAGCTACCAGCTTCTGTGCTCCCTACTTCACTGGATGCAGAATGCTCTGGGGACTGGGCCCATGATCTCCTCTCTACATAGATAGCAGCAGCCAGGTGGAGGTTTCAGAGTGCCCTAATTCTTACTGTATTTACTTGCATAACACACACATCTTCCTCCTCACCTCACCCCCCAAAAACTCAGCCCTCCAAAACTGTAACACATGTCTTAAGCAAGGAAACCTGATTTATCTTTGCTGGAATAGAAGTAAGGCAATGCTGTGCTCTAATGGCTGCCAAAATGGCTACCACTACTTTCTGGCTCAGCAAGCAGAAGGAGCAGACTCCAGTGTTAACCTTCTCAGAGTCATTAAAACATTTGTAGTAGCTGTTGGCTGAGAACTGTAGCTTGTGCCTGAAGCAGCAACTGAGCTGGCAAGTGAACTGCTGCATGGAGTCTATAATATCTTGATGAGGCTCATGGTGTGGAAAAAACACTTTATTGTTGACAGAAATTTATAGAAAGAGCTATTTACACTAAAGAAGTAATAGTCATGCTACTGCCTTTGCAAGGGTCTGGGAACTAGCCTTGCTGATGTTGTGTCACACCAAAAGTTCCTGTTGTCTCATCCAGAGTGTTCCCTAGTATGCCATTCTTCCTGGACAATTTACATTTCCAGGAGGAATTACCCTGTCACACAGTTGGCCATGGCTACAGAAAAAAAACATTTTTTCTACAAGGAAAAACCTGTTTTTCCAAAAACAAGGTATGTCTTATTTTGGGGTGTGTGATATATGAGAAAATATGGTATCTTATCTGGTGTGGGCTATTCTTTATCCCCTTGTTTCCACTTGATATTGTTAGATGCCAAAATGTCCTATCCTCTCCAACGTGCTTCCAATATTCTCTCTCCTTCCCTGCAGTTATCTTCTTTTGTCACCACCCTGATCCTCTTACTCCTCCTTCCTCTAGCAATACCTTCCTCTTTCCCAATCTAACCCCGACAAGTGTTTTCACCTTATAATAAATATCAGTGCAGTGCAGCTGCCCTCTGCTCCCTGCATTGCATGGACAGCTCAGGGCCCCCTCCCCGTTCCCTTACTGCAGGCTCCCTAGGCCCCCTCCTGCCATGGTTCTCCATGCCTGGGGGCAGGGGCACACAGTGGAAGCTGGAGGAGGCAGGGGGAGCTCGGAGACCCTGGCCACTGCAGAAGCAGGGGGGGGAGAGACGGCCAGGTGGGAGCCTGTGGTCTGTATGTTAATCCCTTGTGGGTTGGATGTAGCCTCACAGGGCACCAGTTGGACAGTCTTGACGTATGTAAACAAGTATGCTCATAGTACAACAACCCCCTGAATTTAGTAAGCAGTAGCCAGTAATCTCTCTGAGCACTATGTTCTATCTTTTTCCTGTCTCCTTGGATTGATAAAGAGCTCTTTGAGGTAGGAATCATGCCGTCACGCTTGTCCTGCACTTGGCATATGGTGTGTGTTACTCTGATAGCAATATGCAACAGGTAAGGCTGCCCCAGTCCAAATTTGAGCCTGGGGCTGCAGACCCATACTGCACTGGCTATACATTTGACAAGACACCATTCATTATTAAATACATTTTTAAAAAACCCTCACTACAGCAGCTGAATATGCCAGGATCCTTTTGTTTACAGTAATAAGATTAGAAAATGTGTGTTGTCCATATCATTGCTTATACTTGTGGGTGCATGTTTGTGGGACAGGTATTATATGGTGTTGAAGAGACAGTGTATGTCCACACTGCTCAGTCACATCTCTGAGGAAATAAGCCCTGCCCATTCACTCCAGCTCTGTGGATGCCAGTACTGGAAATGCTCTGCAGTATGATGCCCTAAGGGTGCTCCAAGTCGCCACTTTTGAGCCTGCTGGAAGCTGAGGTTTGAGCACAGTGCTAAGGTTTCCCTCACCACCTCATTTCTTGAGTGGATGTATATGCAATAGGTGTAGATGGGTGGAGTCTGTTTCCTTTGTTGTCAAGTCCTGCAAATGATGACTCTCTTAGGGCCGCTCAGACTTTTTGCTACAAAACCTGAGATCATGCATTTAACTTGATCATAAATGTGTGTGCATATGCATGTATGGAAGAGTAGGCTCTGGAAAACGATAATTTTATGGTCAACATACAGTGGAATTTTTTCTGATGTTTTTGTCTCTACTTCATTGCCTATACAGGATTCACTGCTGTCAATGCTGCCATGTCATATAACAATCAGAACTTATTTTTACTGTGGTTCTCTACAAGGATCAGGTTTATTATACTGGTAAAATCAGAACCTTGGAAGCTTCCACGGTGGTACATTTTAGGGTCATGACCCTGTATACTGAAGGCAAGAGTCCATGTTTTAAAAATATGCCTGTGGTGCCATGAGGGTATTTAAAAATATCCCTCATGGTGTGGTACAGCACAGCATCAACTCTGTTGGTTTTCTCAGTCTTCAGGCCACTTCAGTTATGGTTGCAGGTTAACCAGCTGGCTGGAATACCGAGAGAGTTCAAGCCCATCAGGATTAGTGAGTCCCCAGGTCAACATCCAACATAAACACAAAACAAACCAAAAGACAGTTTTGACCTTGCTGAGCTCAGCTTGCAGCCCTCTTCTTTTCAGGCATGCCCGACTGGGGTGCTTGCTTCAGTGTCCACCACTGTGTTACTAGGAACAAATCTGCTTAACTCTCTGTCTGGCCTACCCTGTCACAGTGAGACTGTAGCAGGCCTTAGCTTCCAGTTACCTCCTAACTCCTCTGCAACATGGAAGCTATCGATGGACTTTCTCCCAGTCAGCCCAAATGAATCTGATCTTTCCTGTCAAACCTGATGTAGAACAGATGTTCTTAGGTGAGCTGATGGGGATGTCCTCAGTTTGTTAACACCATACTGCCTACTGCAGGGTTCAAGTGTTCCACTGCTATGCACTTAAAGCAGGTTGGTGATGTTACTGTCAGCTATTTCCATTAGTGACTTGGGCTTATCTCACAGAGTGTAGGACTTTTCCCAGTTACTTAGTGTTCTGAATGAGTTTGTCATGAAACATCAAACATGCATCATTAATATTCAGCTTAAGCAAAGGAACAGCTTGACACCTTTGACTTTTCACTCCCAACTCTATTTATCATGATGAAACCTACTTCCTTGGGACTGTTTGTTCTTGGCAGACACAGAACAAATTCAGGTTGGTAACCAGTGTGGCTTTAACAAGAATTCTATGGGTACATACTTACAACTATAGTTATAGGATTAAACATATAATTGATTAATTGGAAAAGGACATTCTGGTTTTGCTAGATGAAGTTCCTGGCATTACTGGGACATCTAGGAAAAAACAGAATGTTGATAATTTTATCTAAGGAGGTTGTGTGTTTACCATCTTGTAGAAAGGTCTGGAATTGCTGCTTTTATTATAGCAAAATATGTTTTGTCAAAAAGTGTCTGTGTGTGTGTTCACAAGAGCCAGCAGGAGAAAAAGAGAAGTCTCCTACGTACATGCTAGAGGCTGTTCATCTATCTACCTGTTTGGGGTGATACTTAAGTGCCTGATCTGCCTGATTTGGGATGGAAGTAGCTACAAACACATATACACATATAAGCACATCTTCTATTTGAACAGTTTTTGTTCATCTGAATGCAGAATGAAAACGTATTTTGAAACTTGAAAGTCAGTGCAAAATGGAATTCTGTCTGGTCAGCTCTATCCAGGACTCTTGTTGCAGGTACAACATACAGCTACTAAAAACTGGGTCTACACACTTACAATTTTTAGAGTTTGAGGTTTTTCTTGCATATCTTTGGGATTTCTTTTCTTTTTCTACTTTAAGATGTCTGCCTTCTATCACACATTCAAGGTATTTGTCAAGTAAATGCAATTGTTGCTTACAGGCTTTCTATAATCACTTACTACCAGTGGATACACTTGTTAATTTTCAGCATCCCCATAGTATCAAGTTTTTGTCCATCTGTCTGATAAATTCAGCAGGCTCTGACTCTGGAGTCCCTTAATATAATTGTCACAGGTTAGTTTTCTTTCATATCTCTGTTCGTAGCATTATCTTAGTCTGATAAAAATGGATAAGGTATGAATGCTTCTCTCTGTTCATGGATCTTGTGCAGATGAGGTTGCTTTCTCCTGTGAAGTGGGCTTTGAGAATTCACAGTTGCTTCAGTGGACCTGTTGTATTGAAGCTGTTGATGTTTTTGGTGGCAATGATTGATTTCCTTCAGTCAACTCCTAGGTTATGGTGCTCTAGGCTTCTTAAGTTCTTTACAATTGCAAGATGGCCAACAAAGGATATGACTTTTCCTTCTCTATAGTTTTCCTTTCTGGAGGGAGTTTGTTAGGGATCTTGATGTTGATTTTGGTGTGAAAGATCTTGATGTAGAGTATTTGTTCGTAGCCATTTCCTTTTTCTATACTACCTCTCAAATTTCCTTTTTGAAATAGATGGATGTAACTTTTGGTACTTCTCTAGTGTGCATCAGAAATTAGTGTTGTGTTCTTAATTGGGACTATCTTCTTGTCACTACAGTTTGTAAAGATGTAAACAAAATGATTCTGCAAGTTTTCACTGAAATAATGCACTTATCTAATAACTACCATTTATAGCACAAAAATATCTATTAAAATCTTAGTTTTATAAAATACTGTACTTAATCATTTTCAGGATGTGTGGGGACTCCTTCCAAAATCCTGTGTTTGTCTGTCTGAACAACATTTTCATTATATGTTGTTCTTTAACCAAGAACTGACTTAAATTAACAAAATTAAACTTCATAAAGTGCTTAAAAGTTGAAGGAAACTAAGAAGTAGCAATAATTCATAGTTTCATAGTTAGTTAGTAGGGTCGGAAGGAAGCTGAGCAGATCATCAAGTCCAATCCCCTGCCATGGCAGGAAAAAGTACTGAGGTCAAATGACCGCAGCAAGGTGTTCATCTAGCCTCCTCTGAAAGACCCCGAGGGTAGGAGCCAGCACCACTTCTCTTGGAAGTTGGTTCCAGATCCTAGC